GGGGCCACGGGGCGGCTGCAGAGGCGGGCTCTCGGGCTGCCTGAGACCACCCTGCACTCTCGCTGTTCACACTAACCAGCCGAGGGTCAAGAGACGTGTGCAGAGAAGGTCGGAAAACCCTTACTCGGAACCCAGGGGCTCCCAGCTCTGGTCGAGCGGGCCCTCCCTCAAATGGGATCGCGGAGAGGCTGGCCCGTGCCCGCCCTGCAGCGGCGCCTCCTGGCAGCGGCCTGCTGTTCGAGGAGGCCAGCGGCTGCCTTTCCTGCTTGAGCAGAGAAATGCCTCCTCACTTGGACCTTTTTACTCCTCGGGGAATTTATCTTTGAGACTGTACTGTGTGATGGTTCCCAGAATATTCACAAGCTCTGGATAGCGGCAGGGGCGGGGCATGGTGTGATGGGAAAAGACCCAGGCTGGTGACCGGAGACGAGGACAGTGTGGGGCGCGCCAGCCTCGGGGGCAGACAGGCCGCCTCGGCTCCCCGGACCCACGTTTCTCCCGTGGGAGCAGCGGGCAGAGCCGTCTCCCGTTTCGTCTGGCACTGCTGTTCCGCGACCCCAGGAAAGACGAGGCCGACCCTGCAGCAGGTGCCCCGCCCCCATGCCTGTGCCCGTCAGAGTGTGAGGTCAGACTCAGCTGGGGTCGTTTAACCCCAGGAACCCAGAAGCGCTGGGTGATCTGTGACTATGGACAGGCTCAGTCTGGAACTTCCCCTGAAACAGAACGAGACATGCAGCACTGTGCAGTAGCAGGGATTAGACTGTGGAGCAGTGAAGTCAACAGGGGGACTCGTCTGGACTGTCCTGGCTGCACAAGATGTGACAGCCACCCCTCTGCTCCAGCCCCACCTTCGGGCTGCTGTCATTCCAGTTCACCTGGGAGGGTGGGCTTGAGTGTACAGGGACTCGGAGGTCTTCACAGCCCACACCAGGGAGAGGAGGATGTTGCGGGGTGGGAGCTACCGGGGTGCAGGGCTCTTTCCTAGGAGAAGGACTATGCCCAGACTCACCCCTCCCAGCCTTCTGCCAGCCTCCCCCGGCTGCCACCCCTTCCACCTTCTCCGTGCCCCGTGCTTCCCAGAGACCTGGGGTCGGGGCCGGTGCTCTCTCGAATGATCAATCCAGGATTTTCCTAATCTGCTCCTCTCCTTTCCGCGTCGGGATGGACCTCAACTCCGGTCGTCCGGGCCCTGGTAGATGAGGGCTGACCACCCACACGTTTCCATGGCTGGATTTATGACAGATCCTCTGACTGTACCAGACCGATGCGGACGGTGACGGCAGCCACCCTCCCACTGCGCGCCTAGGCAGGCGGAGTGTGGGCATCGGCAATGAGCCGGCCTCTCCCTGGTCAGTGAGAGGAGGGCCAGTGCTGCACCCCAAATCCCGGGACAGCCTTCCCGTGTGTCGCTGACTGGCAAGGTGACATGAGAGCAGGGACCTCTTGTGGCTCCCACTGTCATCTGTCAGAGCAGCCATAGGCCCTCCCTTGCCTCTCTCAGCACGGTGGTCAGCATTGGGTGTGGACAGGTAGCCACGTGCCCTGAGACTAGGCCAGCCAGCTGGTCCCTAAGCTCAGGGCCTCGCTCTCCACACTCAGAGTGACTCTATGTCTCAGGTCACATCACCTGTCACACAGTGCTTGTCACTTCTTCAGCAGTGACAGCATCATAAGAATCTAAACATTGCATTTCTTTGTTCACTGATCACAGAAAATGTGGACATGTATTTATTTATCTGATCAGAAGAGAAGCACAGATCTGGTGCCATGGAAGCGGTGGTCAGGCCGCGTCGTCCGCGTCCCAGGAAAGGCTGCGGAGCTTCTGCTGTGAAGCAGCGTCTCTTCGCCTTTGTTCTTCTGTGTCGCTCCCGAGCTGCATGTGTGCTTGGCCGTGCCGGCTTTAACAGCTAGAAAGAGCAGCAGTAACACAGGACTAGAGCTTGGAGAAATGTAAAGTTGTTTCTTAGACATTTTTATTAGAGACAAAGCATAAAACGCCAGTGCATATATTTGTAGATTTACAATCCACAGAGTTCTAACCACACCAAATTCTGGTTGTGAAGGTAGAGAACAGACACCTTACATGACTGCATTTCTGTTGCTGTTGGAGAAATTCTTGCGGCTTTCAAATTCCAACTGCTAAGCATAGATTGTCTGTGACAGTGTGAGTCCAAGAGGACAGAACTCAGACCCACAGCATTTCACAAAGCCCCTTAGGGGTCAGTACTGCACCTGTGGCAGCAATAAAAAGAAGGCTCCTCATGGGTGATGAAGACATCAAAAGGTGCATCTGCTCTCTGGGCTCAGTCTCCCCCCAGAAGGGACCAGACCGAGCTGCCTCCACACCCCCCATACAGAGGTTCTGTGCTTCCACCCTGCAGTGAACGCCTGGCCTGGCCTACGGCAGGTGATTCCTTCGTAGGTGCTGCCACCTGGGCCTGCACCTGTGCTAGGTCCCACGGGAGTTGCCCCCACCTGCAGAGTGCTGCTCCTGTGGGGCCCTGCGTGGCACAGCCACCTGATTCTTGGGAGAGCTGTCCATAGGGCCACGTTAGGTCACCAGCATGATATAACTAACGACTGGCAAGGGAGTGGCCCGACAGGGCCAAGAGACTTCTCCTTCTGAGTCTGTTCTTTCAACACCACGCCAGGTGCCCATGGCCCTGCCGTTCTCCCTGTGAGGCTCCAAAGCCAGAAGGCACAGTGGGGGCGGCCTCCGCTCACCAGGTTTGCAGAGAGAGGGAGACCTCCTCTGCACTGTTCAGAGCCCCTCCTCCGTATGCAGACGCATGTCTGGGTTAGTCTTGGCATCCTTGGGGGGAGGTAGCTTATGGGGGGGATGAGTAGCACCTGCTAGTCCACAGGGTGGGAGCTGTCACACAGCTGTGTGATGGGAGCTGCTGGCAGCCCAGAGGTAACAGCAGAAGCCATTTCCTCCTGGGGACAAATGAACTGTGAGACATCACAGAAGTCACGTCCACAGTAAGATTGGTAGGAAAATCAGTCCATATAGTGCGCGTCACTGTCACATTCCAAATGCAGCCTTTCCTGTGGTTTTAAAGAGCAAGGACATGACCTCAGTGTTCTCCACTATTTACACTGATTCCCTCCTTTCGGAGTTCTGGAGGACAAGAGGCGTGTCACTGAGAACATGGAGAGAAAATAATAAATCTCGCCTGACTGTCCTGATGCGGTGTTCAGAGTGCTCCGGGGTGGCACACAGGTCCCTTGTTTGCAGAACATCGCTGTCGTCTCTGGGTGGTGCTCTGCAGCTACGGTGGTGCTGGCTGTGCCGTCACCTGCTGCTGTGTGCGGGGCACAGAGCCTGGCCTGGTGCCGGGGCTCATCACGGGGATGTGCCAATCCAAGAGCATAAATCGAGAGGAGAATATATCTTGTATTTCTTCAAAAATTAGTTAGAACAGGTTGCCTTCAGTCCTTAAAAGCTTCAGGAGCCCTGGGCCAGCGGCACCTCACACATGCAGACAGACACGCCCGTGATGCTCTGTGCTGTGGCCTTCCTCCCGATTGCGCTCTGGGGGACTACGTGTCCTCACACTTGTGAAAATGACTTGTCAGGATTGTCCAGAAGAGGGACCATCTGTGTTTCAGACAGTGAGTGACACTCTGTGACTGTTACGTGGCAAATCTGATTTGCTGCTGTTCAGAAGGATGTGTTAGGTTTTAAAAGCATGTTAGTCTGCTACGTGGGCTTGCAGAGGTGTGTCCTGTGACTGACATGCCGAAGTGCAAATCAGAGGGGCAACGTGAACCCCCCAGAAGGAGTCCTGGGGCCCCAACCTAGCTTTCAGTCAACATCCCCGGGCCCTTCGGCTCATTAACAAACTTCCCAAATTCTTCTCCACTGTATTGTCATCACAGAAGCAGAGAACGGGTGTGACGGCGGTGCGCAGTTGCCCAGACCCAGGCTGGGGAGGGCTGCCCCCCGGGTCTGTGGTGGGTGTGGGGGAGACTGTGGCATGAAGAGATGCACGTCCCAGAGGCCCCTTTGGTGCAGAGCAGGGTGTGCTTCAGGTAAAACACAGGTGTTTTATGTCATTTTTAACAGTCTTTTTTAACTAACAAATTTCCTAAGTGGTTTTTTCAGACTGGATGGGGCAGTTATTCAACATCATTTCTACCAGCTCGCCAACACTTTCTTGCTTCCACGTGGCAGGTGGGGGTCGCCACACTGGGTGCCAGCTGGAGTCTGTGCCGTTGGCGGTGTCCTTGCGCTCGCTCACCACGCTCCCAGCCTCAGAGGCTCCTGGCCGCTGCAGACTCTCTCTCCCCCTCCACTGAGACGCTCCCCCTGGGAGTCACACTGCCCGGGCTTTGCTTCCAAGCTCTTACTCTGCATTCCTGTGGCTTCCCTGTGCATTCCGATAAATGATCTCCAAGGTACCCAGGTCAAAATAACTCCCAGTGCAGCCCACACGTGTGCTCCTGAAACTGAAAGCACGCGGCGGCGGCGGCTCCACCGGGCTCCTCGGAACCGGAGGCTCCTCCCTCCCGCCGCCTGAGCACCTGGTGAGAGCAGACCACTCAGAAGCAGTTGCCACGAACATCTGCTTGAGAGTTAAAACAAGTAAAGTTCGTGAACTCTCACCAAGTGTAGTCATATGATGAATGGAAAGAATGGCTGTGCATCTGGTTGGGCTACAAATGAATAAAGCCAGTAAAGAAAATAAGCCATTCTCAAAGTTTAGAAGTGATGAAAACTAATACCTTTAAATGATACTTACTTACCATGCACACTGGTTTACTTTAAGGTTAATTAAGGAAATTAACAGTGAGAAAGTGTCCTGAGCATCTTGTGTTCCTGGCACAGGCTGCTCGCCTCACGGCGCCACCGCCTTCTTGGGGCCGAGGCGCGGGTGTGACTGCAACGTGCGGCTCGCGGTTAGTTTTTCTGTCCTTGCTGTTGCAACTGAACTTCAAGTTCTAGCCACTCTTCTCTTTTCTTTTCTTTTTGTCCTTTCTTTTTATTTTCTTTCCAGAAGATCACCAGATGAATTGTCACAATAGTCGAATAATGCAAGATGCAGAAAAGGACGATAACAATAACGATGAGTATGATAATTATGATGAGCTGGTGGCTAAGTCCTTGTTGAATCTCGGCAAGATTGCGGAGGACGCAGCCTACCGGGCCCGGACGGAGTCGGAAATGAACAGCAATACCTCCCACAGTTTGGAAGACGACAGTGACAAAAACGAGAGCCTGGGCCGGAAAGGTGAGCTGAGTCTAGACTTAGACAGCGACGTCGTCAGAGAAACAGTGGACTCCCTGAAGCTGTTAGCACAGGGACATGGTGTGGTGCTCACAGAAAACGTGAGTGACCGGGGCTACGCAGACACCATGGCACAGCAGGACAGCAGGAACATGAACTACGTGATGCTGGGGAAGCCCAGCCTGAACAACGGGCTGGTGGACAAGCTGGTGGAGGAGAGTGACGAGGAGGTGTGTCTGAGCAGCCTGGAGTGCCTGCGGAACCAGTGCTTCGACCTGGCCCGGAAGCTGAGCGAGAGCAGCCCTCAGGACCGGGGCGCCCCGCAGAACCCGAGTGTCCGCCAGCACGTGCGGCCGGAGGACGACTTCTCGGGGAGGACGCCGGACAGGAACTACTCTGACATGATGAACCTGATGAGGCTTGAGGAGCAGCTGAGCCCCAGGTCCAGAACTTTCTCCAGCTGTGCCAAGGAGGACGGGTGTCCTGAGAGAGACGACGACACAGCCTCCGTGAACTCAGACAGGTCCGAGGAGGTGTTCGACATGACCAAGGGCAACCTGACCCTTCTGGAGAAGGCCATTGCCTTGGAAACGGAGAGGGCCAAGGCCATGAGGGAGAAGATGGCCCTGGAGGCCGGCCGGCGGGACAGCACGAGGTCCTATGAGGAGCAGTCGCCACGACCGCTGCCTGGGGACGAGCGGAAGCCCAAGCCCAGCGATAGCCATGTCAAAAAGCCATACTATGGTAAAGGTAATATTTCTGCCTAAAGTAAGTTGCCTCTCAGAAACATGAGCTCGAGGGAGAGATGTGGATGGTGGTCACAGTTAACATGTGCCCTGCCGTAGATTTGATCTCTGATGCTCATTTCTTAGGGCTGGTTCCAGAGTTACAGTTTGTGATCACGTTCCTGAAGAGCCAATGAAGTGTGTGTCTGAGAATTACACAAAGCAGCTCAATGTCGTATTCTCAGAGCAGATGAGCGCTAGGCTGGTTCAGTGGGAAATGCATGTCTTGGACAGAAGGGTCAGACACCAGACACCCTGAGTGAGAAACCATGAGGAGGGGCCTGCGGTCTTATAAGCGGACCACACTCAGAGTGGCGAGGGCTCACGTAGCAGCCAGTCAGTGGCGGGGAAACTCTGGGCAGGTGACCTCCCGGCTGATAAAGTTTTATCACCAGATACAATGGCTGGGAAAGCTCCCCCACAGGACACAACCCCGGTGGAGACTGAACAGGGATGGAGCGGTGGGTGACGTGAAACGGGGGCAGCGAGTTCACATTAGTCACGTGAGGGCCTCAGCAACCGGAGCCCCCTGCCCTGCAAGGCGCTGCACGTCTCCTGCCAAGACCAGCAGTCGCTCCCCTCCCTGGCTCCACGGCACCGTGGGGACGTGGTCGCGCTTATTTTACTGTGAAACACCCCGAACCCCCGGTGTGGCCGTCTCAGCGAACTTTTACTCGTGAAATCTGCAAGCAGAGGTCAGCACCCCTCTCCACATCCAACCCACACGCGTCAGGCCCCGTGCTGACTGCCCCAGCCCGAGCAGTTGGCCCCCATCTGCAGGTCAGCCGGCCCGCTCTCTGGGGGGCACACGCAGCACTGGGGCGCCTGCCTGTGTCAGTCAGAGCCTCTCTTAGAACTAGGTGAGAAGCAGTTTCAAGAATAAAACTGGTGATCCCTTAAATCCTCCCATGTGAGTGCCAGAAAGACCCTATGTTGTGGTTTCTGTTCTATTCCTATCAATACTGAGTTTCCTCCCTGTGGATCTGATCATGAGCTTCAGGAATTTGGTTTGAAAATCAGTTGCAGTGCCAACTTCAAACCCTCAGAAAAACCCTCCCTTCTGTTGTGACATAGGCGTGTACTCTCCTCTCAATGTGTGCACACAGCCCACAGCGAGCTGGGCCTCGCCGGACTCAGATCGAGTTCAGGATGAGACTGAGCCAGAAGCCCTCAGGCGCTCGCCCAGGCTGGAGCACCGAGGCCGACTCAGGGATGCAGAGGGAGGCCCGCCAGGGCGAGGTGCGTGCGAGGAAGGGCTGGCGCTTCGGGCCGCAGCGTCCAGCACAGCGGAGGTCGGGCTTGCTCTGGGTGAGCGTCCTGTGGTGGTGCTGTGGTTGCAGTGGAGTCTATAAGAGCTTGTTAGTTGGATGCTTGAGGATCATAGCTCACCGCTTTTAGGAGGCAGTAGTGCCCTTACGGCTTGCTCAGCGGCACGCAGGCGCACTGGGCCTGCGTTGACAGTCGGGGAGTGACGTGCCGAGGAGTAGAGTGTGGGCACACTGGGCATCGCGTCTGTGTCCACGGCTCCCTCCACACCCAGAGCTCTCTGTGGATTTGACTCATTGCGTTTTGTGATTGTTGTTCTGGGTGTGTTTGGTTGGGTTTTTGGTAAGAATTGGAATTCAAACTATGTGGTTCCCCAAATAAATGGGGACAGAGACGGATGAACAGTGAGGCTGAGATGTGCCTTTTCCCTGAAAGGCGGAGGCTGAGGATGCAGACTTTTTAAATGAACCAGAAAGCACGAGTTCCTGCCTCAGCCCAGTTTTTTCAGGTCGTCGTCCTCTGAGAGCTGCTCACTTCTCTCTTATCAGCGTGTTTCACATCATCCCCCAGTTGCTTTGGAAGATGCCGGTAGTTATGTCAGAACCAAGTGAATGCAGTCAAGCAAGGGCACCAAAGTAGGCAAAGGGAGTGATGCCCTTCTCACGGAAAAAAAAAGTGATGTCTTACCAGGATGTCTGAGTAGTCCCTGTGACCACGGTCTCTATTTTCAGCTCCCATTATTTTTTTAAAGCTGAAGGGAACATTTGTACCAGTGCTCATTTCCATTCAATCTTCTCAAAATGATTTAAATGGTGGGTAAGAACCTTTCCAAACTCGTGACCTAAAACAAGAGGTTCAACGTGAAACTTCTGTTTTTTCTTCAGCATCCACTAGGATGGGGATACTGGAGCAGCTAAACCAGCATGCAGGTTTCTTCTAGATACTGTTGCAAGTTCATGGTCAATCGGTCTGTTTGCTCGCTTGGTTGTTTGGTGTTTGCTCTAATGTTTGCCTTCAAGACAAGTGGGTATTGAAAGAAACGAGAGAACAAGGGAGGCCATGCGAAGGCGGGCAGCTCCCAGCCGGGCTCGGCTCACGCATCGAGAGGAGATTACACCCTGCCGTCTCCCAGAACCCGAGGCAGGCGGGGACGCGCTGTGTTCACGCAGACCTGCGGGGACGCGCTGTGTTCACGCAGACCTGCCCTTGCCTCCAGGACCCTTTGTGAAACTGGATGTCCCGTGTCCTGATGAAAAAGGGTCACTCAGTGATTAATGATGGTCATGGTTTATTTTTTGTCATTTAAAAGTCATTTATATCTAGTTTATCATTATAAATTATTACATCTCTAGTTTATGATCTTAATTTTTTCCTTTGACACTGTTACTGTGCACTTTTATAATTACGTTGATTAAGTTATACAAGTGTTATTGTGCAATTACTCACGAAGGAATGGAGTGCCAGGCTGTGGGTCGGCGTGTGGGGGAGGTGCTCCAGGAGGGCGCCTGACACCGAGACCGCAGCGTCCGCCTGTGGGTCTGTCTCCGGGGCTGCCGTCTACCAACAGTGGCCGAGGGCGGCCGGCGGCTGCCTGGAGGGCGCTCCCTTCACCTCAGCAGTTAAAAAGGAGGGTGCTCTTTACAGGAACATCAAAACCTTTATCTGCAAGTCCTTTGTCTATTTCCGTTTACATGAATGGCTTAACAAAAGTCAGTAAGACTTTAAAATTTTTAAAGCAGGCTTTTTTCCTTATATAAAATGAATTCTTAACCAAAAGTAAAACATATTTTTCAACAATCATGATTGGGCTTGATTAATAAGATGCTAATATAAAAATACTAAATACCTAGAAGAAATTTTAACCACAGTGCTCCCCAGACCAAGTCACACTAGTCACTGTCGATTGATAATCTGCGCAACTGGTTTTCAAAAACTGGCTCAAACACAGGGCTTCACGCACCGTGATACTGTGGGGCCTGAGCTTCGTCCTAGAACTACTGCTGGAGCTGTCTTCTGCACGTTTATGCACTGGGGTCAGTTCTGGGCGCAGAAGTAATTTCTGAGCAATGCCATTGCATTTCTGCCTCTGGCCCCTTCCCACTGCCCCTGCCCCCCCGCAGAGCTGCAGCCACCCCAGCACAGTGTCACGGGAGCCGTCCTCTGGTCCCAGGGCACTGGGAGAAGCCCAGCAGGCAGGCACTCGGCAGCTTCTGGAACGGTCTGATTGCGCATCCCCTGTGTCAGGCAGGGTCCCCTCCACTCGGGTCATTTGCTTGCAGTGCCTTCTGAGAGTGCATCTTATTTCCAGAAAGTCTCTGAATTGATGTGCTGCCAGCCAGTGTGGCAGAGAACACACTCAGCATTGGCACACCTGCACCCCACAGTGTCTGAGTCGGACGGAGCACTCGGGCCGAGAAGAGCGCCACACGGCGTCCGCCCGTGGTTGCGTTTCGCATCTGTGCTCTGAGAAGGCCACTGCCACATCCGGTCTCCGCTGGTGTCTCTGAGCTCATCATGTAACACACGGGGAGACCGTGCAGAGTTCGGGGAGGCATAGTCTCCGTTCTCTTTAGCCCAGAAAATAAAATATGTTATGATTCATGATTATACCGTTCAGGTCAAAAATCACCCCAAACTAAAGACCTACACAGAAGCCTGTTGCCACAGCCTGTCTCCCGACACCTGCTTTACTTCTTTACTTGTCAAGGTCTCTTCAGAGTGTGAAGTAATCACATTTGTCTTCAGAGGGTAAAGAATTCACTCTCTTGACACCTGTTGTCGCTTTTAGATCCCTCGAGAGCAGAAAAGAAAGAGAGCAAGTGTCCAACCCCAGGCTGCGATGGAACCGGCCACGTGACCGGGCTGTACCCGCATCATCGCAGCCTGTCCGGATGCCCGCACAAAGATAGGGTCCCTCCGGAAAGTAAGTTGTGACGCCCCGCCCTCGCACACACACCTGCCACTGTCTCAGTCATCGCTCTTGCCTCTGTCATTTCCATCGACTCAGAGGGCAGCCACCCAGCACTGGTGCGCTCGTGGGGGCTGACGGGGTCCAGACCTCTTCCTCTAGTGGGCAGTGTGTGCCCCTCTGCCCCCTCGCGCAGGCCTGAGCACCAGGCCTGGCTGCTGACCTGCCCGCTCTGTGACCTCAGGCCAGCCGCGGCCCTCCTCACCTCCTCTCAGGCTGCAGCACTGAAAGTAGACAGTCTGCACGCTACCCCACCCCTGCAACAACGGCTGTGAGCCCCCGGAAAACCACTGGGGAGTCCTGCTGCCCGGTTACCTGGAGTTCTGCATATTTGCAAATCCGTATTTATATTTGTGTTCTATTGCATTTCACTCAGAAGGTCTGTTCCATGTCACAGTTGCCCCTGTGACGTCCCTGCACAATAAAGTCTTCAGTCAGGAGGCCGTGGCGGGTGGGTTCTGACCCCGCACGTTTGTTTGAATCAGTTAGGTTTTACATTTTTAAAGCAACTAAATTCCCTTCAGGACTGAGCCGAAGTGCACTCTTTCTGTTTCTGTCGGCACATGAAATGTGCCGACTGTTTTCAAACAACCAGAGCTGATTGTGCAGGAAAACAGCCCGTTCTCAGAAAGAACCGTGGGACGGTAGAAACTTAGGTCCGAGGGTTCCGCCCTGTCTAGGACACAGCTGCCAGACAGGAAGGTGGAGTCGCTGGGCTTGAGATACGGCGAGAGGACCGGCTGGCTGTGCGCTGGGGCTTTTGAGACCGGTCCCACTAAGATGCTGACTCTAGGGTACTCGAGGTAAATCTGTCGGAACCCCGAGAGGTTCATAGTAGGTGAGGCTTAGAACACGGGCTTAGCGGAACATTTCCAGGTAGAGAATATTTAGAAGCTGCCGTGGCTCCAGGTTTTCAAATGGCTGCTGAAAAGAGCAAAGGCACACTTCCTGCCAACGTCCTGGGAGCAGGCGAGAGGGGCGTGGGCACCAGCGGCCCTGCCCCGTGTGTTACATGACCAGGGCGGCTGCATGTGTGGCCGCAGCGGCTGCCCCTGAGCCTGGCGCTCTTCTGGCACGCAGCCCACACTTGTCAAACACCCGCCAAGCCCACGGTGAGCGCTGGCCCGTTTTCAGACGAGGGAAACGCGTGCAGACTGTATCGCCGCCTTTCCAGGCCGAGCACAGAGCCTGGCCAGCAGGAGACACCCAGTCCTTCCGGGACTGACATGACAGGTGCAAGCTGGCCTGGGCAGGGAACTCGCGGGCCCCGGGGGCCACGCCCACCGTGTCCCAGGCCTCCCTGTCTCCGAGGAGACTGGGGCCGAGCCCCGACCCGTGCTGACCAGCATGGCCCCGCGGGCGCGGCTCGCACCACCTGTGCCCGGTGCTCCTCACCTGCAAAATGAGGGCAAGGACCACAAGCCAGTCTCGTAAAAGAAAGCTTCTTTATGCCATTTTTCTATAAGGCCTGTATTTTCACCTTGAAACAGATCAGTTTCTCCTCATGGCTGACAAATCCCCCTGACTCCGCATTTCCACAGGGAAAGTCTAACTGCAGCAGAAATGGGGGCCGCACTCCGACAAGTTGCCTGCTGGATGGGCTCGTGCAGACCACCCTGGTCTCCTTGGGCCAGGCCAGGGGGCTTGGCCCCACTACTGACCCCACAGATGCCTCCCCAGTATTTACTCATGTAAAATTCCTCACAGCATCTTACAAGTGGGAAGACGTCACACTCCAGCCGAACTCTGCAGAGAACTCTGCAGCCCCAGTTCGTATGCAGCACTCAGTGTTACAGGCAGAGGCCACGCCACTGGCCAAGACCCCAGCCCTGGCCCTCTGAGAGCCCCACCTAGACAGGATGCCGCACAAGGCAGATGTGGGCCCTGCAGACACGGGCCTGAGACCCCTGGGGCGATGACCTCCTTGCATCAGCCTGTCCAGCATGAGGGAGAAGGAACTTGGCATTTATGAAAGCAACTGGAATGGCCTGTGCAAGTGACCGGGCCTGGAGGAGGCAGGCGGCAGGGACAGGAAGTCTGGGGCCGGTTCGGGAAGCATCCCTGAGATGGGCTGGCAGGGCTGGGAGACCAGCTGCCGGGGGAGGGAAACATAGGTGAGGGAGGAAGGCCAGGCTGGGCGCCTCGGGACACAGCCAGGTGGTTACACCTACAAGAGGCTGCATCTGTCCCACTGAAACGGAAGTGCTGTTGGGCCGTTGAGATGGTCAGATGTGTGGGAGCTCTCTGGCTAGCCCTATGCGAGGTGTCAATGGACACTAGTGAAGTCGCCCAGATGAGAACCACAGACGGGAGTTTAGGACACGAAAGGACAGGAAAGCGAAGCCCAGGGGGAAGGGCAGGTGGAGAGAAGTCAGAGGACACAGAGGGACCGGGAGGGGGTGGTGTCTCCGCCCCAGGCCCACACACAAGGGTGATGCCTGAGGTCCAGAGAAGTCCGCAAGGGGGACTGGGGGGCAGTGGTGAAGGACGGGCCACCAGTGTGGTGAGGGGCAGAGGCGGCGCAGACTCGAGGTGACGGGGGTCCCGTCGTGGGGCAGGGGTCAGAGGTGCTGTCATGTTGAGGTCTGCACCGCAGACGTGTGAAGGGTCGGCTGTCTGCAGGGACATCAAGCATAGGGGAAAGGTGGGTGTTGTCCAAGAGCAGTTGTGTCCTGGGAAGGGTTTGTGTGACATTTTAACGGGGCAGTCGGAAAGCAGGGGAGAGTCCGGAGTGAACAGTGTGAGTTGAGCAGGACCCCAGAGGCAGGGGAAGAAGACAGGTGCAGGCAAAGAGCTCACGTGGCAGAGACCCAGGCAGTGGGGCCAAGGTGCCCCAGGAGGGAGGCGTCCTGGACCCCCTTCCAGCCAGGGCCAACCCAGAGCGAGCCAGGCCGACTCCACTGGGAGAGCTGCAGGGGCGGCCCGGAGCGGGGGGCGAGGCGTGGGCTCAGGCAGTGAGCGCGTCACATGGGACAGCGCACACATCACACACGTTTCAGCCCAGGGAGGTCTTTCCAGAAGGAGAAAGGCTGCAGAAAACAGAATCCTGTGACTCGTTTGGGCAGACTCTGTTGGGAGGGGGCCCACGTTCACCTGCACAGGGGCCAGTGTCATGGGTCACTCCCCTTGACTGTCCGCCTTCACTTCTCATGCCCACCAGCCTTCCCCCGCAGCCCAGAGTGGTGGCCTGTTCTTCCGGCAGAGAGGCCCCTGGCTACCTGGGTAGTAAACACACAGAAGGCAGGCTGGCTGCTGCCGGGCGCACGTGGCCGCTGTGTGCCATGTGGCCCACTTGCTGGTTCACAGGCTCAGCCACACAGCACTGACCGTTCCAGATGGAAGGTCGTTACTTAATTCACTTGATTTAAAAATAAGGTTTGGGGCTCACTCTCTACTCTTGACTGCCACGCTCACGATGCTGTGTGTTTTTGAAGCAGCAGCACAGGCTTGGGTGTGGGACCAAGATCAGGGCCCTTGCGTCCCTACCCAACTCGGACCAGTTGAGCCCTCCAGCTCCCCCCAGTGCACCCCACACTGCATGCCACTCTGACGAGGTGAGACCCGTGTGTTCCCAGCCATCACACACATCCGTGGGACCGAGTGCTGTCTGCGGGCCCCGTCGTCAGAGCAGCGGCAGCTCCTGGACCTGGCCTGCCCCCGGGTTTTAATGCTGCACTGTTTTCTCTGCCTCTCCCATCAAGTCCTCGCCATGCACGAGAACGTTCTCAAGTGTCCTACTCCGGGCTGCACAGGGCGAGGGCACGTAAACAGCAACAGGAACTCGCACCGCAGGTAAGCCCGCCGTGCTGTGCTGTGCCCCACCTGCAGGCGGCCCTCCGAAGGCCCACACGTCTCCTGCCCGCACCAGAGGACCGAGACTGTGGTCCCCTGGCTCACGGGGGCTCAGGTGCTTAGACCCCTTTTTCACAGACGGGGCTTTTAGTTGTCTCACCCACCTGGAAGGTGCCATTTGAGGCATAGCATCTGAGGTGGAACCGGAACCTGGAACGAACGCGGTAGTGGCTCCCCTGTCTTCCAGGGAGTGGGAGGGACTGTGTCCCGTGCACCAGGTACAGAGGGACGCAGAGCAGGGGAAGACCGTGCACGTAGGATGCAGCGGGGCTGCCACCAGACTCTGCTGCAGCCCCGTCACCGGTGTGGACCACCGGGCAGGCAGGTGTCAGGAACGTGGGGTGTGCACAGCACCAGAGGGCTGTGCCTTTCCTGGCCCAGTGCTGCCCCCCGCTCCCCATGCTCTGGGCAAATCGCGCCTCCCTTCCTCCTGCATCCGGCCTCTGCTAGGTTGCCTTGGGCCCAGTCGGATGCTTTCTTGCAGAAGGCAGTTGTTTCCCTCTCTTCCAGCCCCATCTCAGCCTCACAGCTCCTGTAAAACTGCCTCTGAACCGGGCGGCCCTGCGCGCCACTTAAGGCCCACTTTCCTGACTGGCGAATTTGGTTACTTGTATTAAATGTCCAAGGAAATGGAGAGTGGCCTGGGCCTGTGCTGCAGAATGAGGCGGGGTGGGGGCAGTGAGGGTTGTGCTGAGCACGGCTGGACGGCACGTTCCCACCCTCACACAGCCACACGCACACAGATCAAGGGCCACGTGTGCCCACACTCCGTGGTCCTGTGATGCCATGGAAACGACAGGCACCACGGTTTCAGAGGGGCAGACCCGGGCTCACTCATGAGGACTCTGCTCTGAAACGGTGCCCAGCAGTCCTCCAGGGGATCCAGTTCGCCTCTGCTCTCTCAGGGGAGGGCCAGCCGTGTGCTGTGGTCAGCAGGGCTTGCCCACGTGGTCAGTCCAGACTTCCAGAGCCCTGCTCGTGCTGCTCAGACCTGTCCTGCCCCGTGGTGAGCCCCTCCCTGCAGAACTCTGCACACCCGAGATCGGAGCCTGTGGCCAACACTGGCACCCGCTCACATTCCATTGAGTGTCACAAAACTCACTAGCTGTCTGGGAAGGACAGAGTGCCCTTTACACAGGGCGTGGCCAGTAGCACTGCCTGCTAGGGACAAGAGGGGACGTGCCAGCTGTCCCGTGGCGGCCGTCCTGAAAGCCGGCTGGGTTTGGGAAATGGCCACCGGCCCCTGCTTGGGGTCTGGCTGTGCTGATGGGGGGTGGGGGTGGTGACTGGGTGTGTGTGCTGCAGAGCCATCTGGGAAGACAACTGATCCCTGTCTGTCATTGCAGCCTCTCTGGATGCCCTATTGCTGCAGCAGAGAAGCTGGCAAAGGCCCAAGAAAAACACCAGAGCTGCGACGTGTCCAAGTCCAGCCAGGCTTCCGACCGTGTGCTAAGGTACCGGCTCGGAGTGTGTTCATCTCGTGAGCTCCAGGCTCACTGCGAGCCCTGTCTGCCCCGCAACCACGGGAGAGCCAGCTGTTGGTTGTTTCTTATTTGCTTACAGGCCAATGTGCTTTGTAAAGCAGCTCGAGATCCCTCACTACGGCTACAGAAACAGCGTCCCTACTACCACGCCGCGCTCCAACCTGGCCAAGGAGTTGGAGAAATACTCCAAGACCTCGTTTGAGTACAGCAGTTACGACAGCCACACGTACGGCAAGCGGGCCATAGCTCCCAAGGTGCAAACCAGGGACATATCCCCCAAAGGATATGATGGTAGGAGGTGCACACTCTTCTACACGAGAGTCGCGCTTGCCGTTGATGATGTTGTTGTTGTGTGTGCCCATGTTCTACAGGCCGGCCAAGCATGTGGCCCCTCGCTAGGTCCCAGAGGGCAGCACACGCCACGGGGGCCCCTTGGCTGACAGCAAGGGTCCATGGGTGGAGAGCAGGGACCACACAGTGGACAGAGAGCCATGCTCTTCCTACTGTGGCTGGGACTGTGCCCTCATCTCTGCAAACGCCCTTGAATAGGTGGCCCAACCTGGCTGAGCCGGGACAGCCGGCAGCAGCGGCCCGAGTCCTGGGCAGTTTGGGGAAGGTCTGCACCCCCACCCCCGTTCTCAGCCCACGGTGCACAGTGGAGCCATCAGGGCAGCTTTGCAAATCTAGTGTTCAGGCTGCGCCCCACACCTGGCAAACTAGAACGCCAGGTGTCCCCTGTGCGGTGACATTTTTAAAGTCCCCATGATTCTCCTGTGCAGCTGAGGGTGGGTGACTTCTGCTGTCACCCAGCACCTCCAGCAGGCAGGGACCCTGGCTGCCCCCCCCCACGCCCCAGGGAGCAGCCCCGCTGTGATGTGCCGCTGTCGCTGGCGCCCTTGGAACCACCACAGCACTTACCAGCAAGGCAGAGCCAAGGGGTCACACCAAGCCCTGTGCTTCCCAGGACAAGCCAGTTGGAGCCCCTCCCGGGCGGGCGGGTGGGCAGGGGAGCCGTGACCTCAGCCTGTCTCTTCTCAGAGTCCCAGGCAGTGGGGTCTTGGGGGGACCACACTGCACTGGTTCCACTCACTCGCCCGCCCAGTCGTGTTTGAAGCTCTGGGCTCCACGGGCTTAGCTGGCAAGTGCTGCTGACCGCACGTGGGCCGTTTGATGCTGTAAAAGCCCGTCTCTGGGGCAGGGAGGCAGGGAGGTAGATTTTCACGGATCTCCGAGCTCCTCTCTGGAACAGAGCACTAAAGTCACAGCAAAAATTCATTTAAATTGAATGCTTGGGGTGTTCTGAAACCTTTCTATGATTCAGTATGAGTAGCTTTTTCTAAGTTATGTAGTCGTTTCTTGTCTTAATAATAATTAATTTGTATAGTGAATAGAATTTAGTATTTCTTTGATATATCAAATATTGATTATCCTTGCATGTGTCAATTCTTAATGTATAGGAACAAAGATGTAAATGGAAAAGAGGAAGTGACCTACAGTACGACAGAAAATAATTCTTTTCTTTTGTTTATTTTGTAATAATAATTTGTCAGCTTCAGGTTTTGTTATAACTTCATTCATTTAATTGCAAATGAAGGATCAAAAGAATTGAGGCCATGTACTTAAGGATTCTGCCGACACCATCTGCGGTGTGTTGCCGTTTTGCATGATGTTACGGGGCCCTCGGCTGGCCGCTCCTGCTCGCATGCCTGGCTGCTGTGCCCTGCTCTGTGGCCTGACCCCTCAGCCTTAGTGGTGGTGGGGCTGCGGGTGGGGCAAGGGCCAGCAGAGCACTTCTGCAGGGTGACTGTGCCCGGCAGGGTTAGAAGTCAGAGCTGCCGGGCTCTGGGCTCAGCTCTCCCAGTAGGCACCGTGTGACGCTGGACATGCTCATCTTCCCGTGTGTTTGTGTCCAGAGTGGAGTGGAGGGCGCAGCATCGGCCCTACCCACTCCGGCTGCTGGGATAACCCGGGCACGACTCTGAAGAGGGGAGCAGACACTATGTTAGTTACTGGCGATGATACTCGCTGCCCAGAAAAGAATACCTGTTGTCAGAAGCTTGCGCACAGCCATGCTGTTTAGCTGACCCACAAGAAAACGGGAATATAGAGAAAAAACTTCACTATTGGGTGTTCAAGAAAATAAGAAAATAGGGAAGACACCCTTGTAGCACCAAACGTTTCCTGCAAAGGAGCCCTGTGGCCCCGTTTCTCGCCCACCAGACTCGCCAGGCAGACTTCTCAGATGTCAGGAAGTGCCCGCTGAGGGTGCTCGGCTGGGCCTGGCCCTGGGCTGGGGGGCGGAGAAGAGCAGGGACACCACAGGGGACTGCAGTTAGTGGTCCTCTGCCCAGAGTGTGCTCCCAAGACTTGCTATGGGTGCCCAAGGAATTTGGTCCTCGCTCCTTAAGAAAAGGCAGACCAGCCCGCTGTGTGGGGTGGGGGCAGGGGCAGAGGACAGAGCTTGGGAGCAGAGCATAGCACCCTGAGACCCTGCCCAGGGCCCTCAGCACAGCGATGCGACCTCCTGCATCCTTCCGGACACCCACTAGTAGCTGTCTGTCTATCCATCTGCCTGTCTTGTCTATCCATCTATTTATTCATCCACCCATCACCCGTGATTCATTCTCCATCCATTTGTTTATCCATCTGCCCATCATCCATCCACCCACCCATTTATCTTCCCGTCTGTCTGTCTGTACATTCATCTACCTATCACCTGTCTATTCTTTCTCTCTTGGTAACAAGTTTCAAGGAAGGGCATGTGACTCGAGAGAAGACAAGTAAAGACACTTGCACACAGTGAGCTGAGGTGTCCGTTGTGCCTGTAAGAGCCGGTCTGAGCTCTCTCCAGCGGCCAGTGTTAGACATGATCTCGAAGCGGAGTAGGCATCACATGCAGTCGAGGAAAGGACGAGAGAGAGAGAGAAGCCAGCAGACGTGCGGGTCAGTGGGAACCGCCGGGGGCCGGCGAGGCTGCACTCGCCACCCGAGATGAGGGACGGGGAAGGGACAGTTGCGCTAATGGCGAGACGTGGAAGTGAAGCCCACACACAGGAGGGATGGCAGAGGGAACAGGGAGAGAGCGGAGGGCTTGAACCGGGGTCCCACTCCTTCCTGCCTCTGCCGTGGGCACCAGGCCAGCATCCCTCCCAGACCCCAGTACAGCCTGCTCTCTGGGGCAGCTGAGGACGGTTCTTCCAGCTTTGATTCCAGCCTTGAGTGCTCAGGGAAAACAAAAGATCTTGTGACATGTGAAAATGATATGAAACTCATGTTTCGGTGTTCACAAGTTAAACTCCCCACCCCCCTCTTTGCTCACTCAGCTGCAGAGCTGAGCAGCTCTGGCAGAGTCTCGGCCACCTGCACTGTCTCTGTGGGCAGTTTGTCAGCCCCTCAGGGTGGTTGCACACCCAAAATGCACAGCCCTGAATGGCCTTTCCTAGCTTCTCAGTTCTCCTGACCTCAAAACCCTTTCCCCTCCTTTGCCCCTCCTTCCTGACTTCTGTCTTGCTCGAGTCCAGGCCTTGGGGTCGGGGGAGGGTCTCATGGAGCTGCTCGGGCAGCTTGCTGGGGCTGCCCTCCCTCCCTAGTCCCTGGGGCTGGTCCTCCTTGCCCTCCCTCATGGCCCCCGCCAGCCTCTCACTGGGAGGTGCCCCCTGCTACCCAGCCAGGTGCTGCCCCCGCCCGCACTCGGCAGCCCTCCTCAGGACTGGTGATGCCCCAGTTTGCTCGTGTAGAACGTGAAGCCCGCTCTGTCCCACGTGCAGCCCCGGGTCTCCTCCCTGGTAATGCCCGGGCCTTGTCTTCCCACTGGCCTGTGAGCTCCTGGAGGGCGAGAGACCCCGTGTTCAGATTCCCACCCGGCGGCACCAGGGCCGGGCAGGCAGCCTGTAGCCAGGCAGGGAGTGCTGACAGAGAGTAGGGCAGGGAGAAAGAAGGGGGGTGGAGAGGGAGAGACAAGGGAGGGAGGAACGCCAGGGACCCTTCTCATATCAGACATGTTAAACCCTGTGAGGAGGTGACTTGCACACAGGTGTCACCTAATGGGGTAGCCTTGCAGGAAAGCCCCTTCCTCCCCTCTGGAGACGCACCCAGGCTCGGAGAGGCAAGCCCAGACACGCGCCCCGTGAGAGAGACAGACATGCCCACGCAGACCGAGGGGCAGGGTGGCGCACGGCGTTGGCGGAGGCTGGAGGCTGCCAGGCCCCGGGGGGGTGGGGGGACTAACCCTCAGGAAGCACATCCGTGCCCTGCGTCCCTTCCTGTCTGGTCTTCGTAACTACGAAAATTCTGCAGTACACCAGAAATACGTTCTTTGCCAATCTGCCAAAAAAATAGGTATCATTTTGACTAGTTTACACCAGACAGCTGTGGTTGTGGTGGCTGTTGTTTTTCATGTGACAGCCTGAGGGGTAAGAGGCCAGCGCCCCCGACTGAAGGCAGATATTGCGTGCTTTAACATTCTCATGGTGCTTCGAGCAGAAATCACTGCCTTACAGGAAAGCATTAATATGGGAGAAAGCGGGCACTTTTAGGAGGGTGAGACATGCAGGTAGTTAGACTCCTACAAGCAGAGCAGGTTAAACAGCAGGTCCTGGTTTGAAGGTGTTTTGCTTTGTTTGGTTCTATTGATCGTATTTCATCCGCACAGATATCGCATGGTTTCTCTTTCTCCAGCAACAGCAGCCACTTCTCTGAGGGGCACTTCTCAGTGTGGCGTGGGCCTCGGGCCTTGCCAGTGGGGTCGCAGGAGGGCCAGGCCTACAGAGGCGCAGGGCTCGCAGCTCTCATGGTGCCCAGTGAGACGCTGGCACTCAGAAGAATATTAACCGGCTCCTGGCTGAGGACAGCTCTGCTGCCAAAAGAAGTGCCCATAAACTCTGTGGTGGTACAGGACTCCCGCGCCACCCCACCCCCGCCCCCCGCTGGGGTTCCCTCAGTGGGAAGGAGTGGCCCGTGGCCCTTGAGCCAGGGACAAAGCCATCCCCATGCCTGCAGCTCTGTGGCGCCCTCTGGTGTCCACACAGTACTGCTGTAGCTCACTGACACTGGGGTTTTGTAAATGTTTCACAGATGAACTAGGGCCCAGAGCCTTCATCACCCAAAAGGTTTGAAGTATGAAGACTCTGATTTGCATTTGGAACAAAACTTTTAGCGAAAGGGCCCATCTGTCCAAACTGCATCTGGAGTGGGGGGGCATGTATCTGTTCCGGGTCCTTCCCTGGGCTCCATGCAATGGGGTCTTTGGGTTTATGCTTCTGTGGGGGCAGACATCCGTCACCAAAGCTGGCTGCACTTTGGTGCTGGACACCTGGTGTCCTGCCTGCTTTAGAAATTGAAATTTACTCATTTCTGAACAAAACTGTTGTTTTTCTTATTGCCATGGACAGCATTTTTTTCCTGAGCCAGTGGCTAGCCCTCACCAGGGAAAAAAACCCTTCTAATTTTATTTCTCCGAGGATGTTTGTATTCCTACCTTTATTACAAGTGAGTGAGTGATGTGAACCTACAAACTTCTGCACATGTGTGAGTGTCTCAGGCTGCATGCTGGTACTGCCTTCCCCTTGAGGTCGTGACAGGCCCCAAGGCAGCCTCCTGAGGGGTGGCTCCATGGGGTCCCTCAGCCCTGCTCCCTCGCCCCGGCCCTCTGTGCTTCGAGCTGAGCACACTGCCCACCCTGTGCCGTGTGCTGTAGAGCTAAGGCTCACTTACAGAGGACAGAGGGCGGAGGCCCCGTGGCATACACACCAAAGCACGGTTACTGGCTCCAGTGGCCAGTTACCACTGGAGCTCATGCAGATGGGTAGTGTGGAAGTAACTTACCTGTGAGTCACTCCTGCTTGGGGCATGAGTGTGGGGTTGACCTGCTGCTCCCTGTGAGCGGGCCTGGGCCTAGAGGTTAGCTGCCTGTGCTTGGTGGGATGTCCAGGGGCCGTGGCACGGTCAGTGGCTTGCCTCCTCACCGAGCAGCCAGCAGGGGTAGTGAAACTCGTCTGCAGCATCAGGAAGGCACAGGCTTCGGTGCAACTCGAGAGTGATCTGCAAGGAAGGCTTAGTTCTTCCTCCATTTGTGTCTGGTCCGGGCACTTTGGAGTGTGGCTTCTTGGTATTGCTCGTGGCGACAGACCTGGTTGGCTGTTGACGTTTACTCTGTCCTTACACGCAGTTCTCCTCGCCTCTTCTCATTGAGGGAAAGTACTGCGCCATCCTCCTTGGGGCGGGGCTTATGTTGCAGACCCACCAGTGACAATCTGGGGACACATGTGAAAACAGGGTCAGGCTGCAGGCTCCCTCCCACTTGCAGCAGGAATGCAGATGGGGTCGGTGCTCTGGGCTCAGGCAGCCACAGCCCGGCGGGAGCCCCGTCCCTGTAGCCCCGTGCCAGCCCCACGGCCCCCTGTGCCCACACACAAATCCAGTCCAGGCCACAAGGGGAGCCGGGAGCTCACCTGGAAAAGAAGTAACGAGAAACATCTGTGCTTTTCGACAGGCGGCTCTCTGGTAAAGGCTCAGGACACCACAGGGAGGTGTTTTCTGGGGTCCACCAGTGCCCTCCCAGCTCACCTGTGCATGACCCTCACTCCCAGGACTCGGGGAGAAGTGTGACCCCTGGGGTGTTGGTGATCCTGGCAGCGCTGACGGGCCATCCTCTTAAATCGTCCATCAGATGGCTCCCTCCGTGCTGGAGGGGCTCCCAGCACTCGGGGGCCCTGCCCACTCCCAAGGGCCCATCTGGCTGCTGGAGAGCCCGCCGCTCACCGGGAAGCTGTGGGTGCCGGTTGTGCGCCTCTTCGTCTCCGACTTCCCGGGTCCACAGGGTGCGAGTGCTCTTGGCCAGCACCTTTCACCCTCGTGTCCCCCTGCTGGAATCCAGGATGACATTTCCTGAGGAAAGAGGTGTTTTGGTCACACCGTCTGGTGTGCACGCCTAGCCTGAACGCCACTTCCCAAAGTGCAGGTCCCCAGAGGCCTCACAGGTGGCCCAGGGCCTGTGCAGCTGTCACCTGCACACAGGACAGTGAGCCCCTCCTGGTGAGAGGGAGCAGCCAGTCTCTCGGGAGCAGAGCAGCCTGTGGGTCCCCATCGCTGCCGATAGCCCCGAGTCCGAGCCCCGAGCACTGCTGCTGTGGGAGGAGGCTGTGCCCATCCGCCCGATGTGCCCGGTGTCCCAGGAGGCAGGCCAGCGGGCTTCTCCCTGTGCGCTCGCCACTGGCCCACACCCTCCATGCGATGTGTGTCTGCGCGCAGGGCCGGCGGGAGGCGTGGGCGGAGGGTGCCAGGCGCGGCGGGGACCCGAGTCACCCCTGCCCTGTCTCCCCAGCGAAGCGGCTCTGCAAAGACGGCAGCCCCAGCAGCAGCGCCGCCAGCAGCTACGCCCCCAGCAGCAGCGGCAGCTTGAGCTGTGGGGGCGGCGGCAGCAGTGCCAGCAGCACCTGCAGCAAAAGCAGCTTCGACTACACGCACGACGTGGAGGCGGCGCACATGGCAGCCACCGCCATCCTCAACCTGTCCACCCGCTGCCGTGAGATGCCGCAGAACCTGCCCGCCAAGCCACAGGGCCTGTGTGCCACCCGGGTACGCCCACCTGGCCGAACCCACCTGGTGGGGTGAGGGAGGCAGGGCCCATGCACCCCCCGAGGCCACACTGGCTGCCTCGGGGCACAGAGTGGCAGCAGTGCAGACCCCGTGGTCTCGCTGAGTGTCCTGTCTAGTTGAAGGACACAGTCCTGCTGAGACATGGCAGCAATCACTGTGCGTCAGTGAGTGTCCCCTTCAAGGCCCAGGCTCACTGCTATAAACAAATGGCATCAGAACCCTAAAGGAGCAGTACACCTTGAACTTTAAACATGAGGAAGGCTGTCAAATAAAAGGCAGGACTGTCCCTTACTGCATTCCCAATAGGTCATCCAGAGCTAGGGAGCAGAGAAAGCACCCATGCAACCTCCGCAGGGACCGGCCAGGCTACACAGGGGCAGCCAGCTTTCGTCAGCTCAGCCCTGCCATCTCTGTGGTGGGGCGTCGTTGCGATTCTCTTGTCCAGGACTCGTGGCCTGTGACGAGGGCAGGAGAACAGGTTACATGGCCGTGCGGCAAGCCGCCTGCCTGGGGCCACTAGGTGGCCGGGAATGCAGGTGGTGTGCTCAGAGGACATGAGAGCGGGCATGTCCCCTCCTCTCCGGAAATCAAAGGGTGTCTGTCCATTACCTGGAGCTGCTCAGCCAGGCTCAGCGGCCTCGCCCTGACAGAGTGGTCATGAATCAGGGTGCTTTGTGCGAAGGGAGAAAGGTCAGTAATTTCACGTTCTGCAAATGCATTCTTCCTATTACTATTTTTATTCCTAGATTTTGGGAAGGATCAGGGGCAGGCAGTTTCCATGGTGACCAGGGCTGCTGCGTGTGAGACTGCCATGGGGGAGGGTCTTTAGCAAGGAAAAAGAAAAGACCATGAACCCTTATAATTTTTTTCACTTTATTAAAATCAAACAAAAACTGAGAGAATTAAATCTAACATTATGAAGGCTAAATTAGTATGAAAGCTTGAAATCGGGAGTGCATTTTGACAAAAGAGTTGAGGTAGCCTAATACTCTATAATTTATCAAGGCAATAGCCCAAAGGATGGGATTTTTATTCCAAGCATCTTCCTGCTGCTGTTGTGTCCGAGGAAAGAGCTGCCAGACATCGGAGTCGGTAGCGGTGCTCCCGCCAGCTCCCAGGCCCGTGTCTGCGGGGGCCCCCAGGACCGTGGGGCATTCTGGCCACTCTTCCCTCTCCTCCATGTGTCCTTCCCTCTCTCCCTCCTCCTGAGAGGTGCACTCTCAAGAATTCTCGATCTGTTTCAAAGCATCTTCAGAAAAAAAGGAACCCACCCTGGACTCCTTTGTTCTTGAAGCCGGTGACTGAATGGCTGATTTGCTGGGCTGGGCACAGGCCAGGCCGTGACCTCAGCAGCGGCGGCCTTGGGCCCTGGGATGCCCTGGCGGCCCCTCTGGCGATGGACAAGTCTCTGCATCGTGGGAGTTCAGATGAGGAGTCGATTCTCACTCCTCCCCCCACCCCCAGTTCTTTTGTTTTCTTCCTCTGCAAGTCTTGAAGTGTCTAGCACCAATGAAACCAAACAAGAATTTTTAAGTATATGTCCATTTTAAGAGTATGTAATTTTAGGAATAAGTGTATATTCTGTACAGACACACACACATTATAATTCTGATCTCGTAATAGGTATTTGAAGTGGAATGGAATTGAAATTAGGCATGCATTTGATTCTCTTCTGGCCAGGCTTACTTCCAGAAGCAGAGATGTACTGGGGGGAAGGAAGATGTAGATAGGTGCTAGATCTGACTGACAAGTGACAGACAAGGACAGATGAGGGAGATAAATGACAGGCAGATGAATACGTGACAGGGTAGATGCGTACGTACACACATACATACATACATACATAGGAGATGGTGGATAGATGGATGTGTGGACACGTGCCTGACCAGCAGAGGTGGCTGCAGGCCCCTGGGGCAGCAGGAGTGAGTAGAGGGCCCGCCTGCCCACTCACCGGGGCTTGAGTGAACGGGATTGGGTGACGTGCTTCTCGAGTGAATTCTGTGCTGGGAGGAGGCAGGCTGCCGTCCGGGAGGAAGCCCCGCGGTCACCCATCTGTCTGTCTGTCTGTCTGTCTGCCCGCAGAACCCTGACATGGAGGTGGATGAGAACGGCACGCTGGACCTAAGCATGAACAAGCAGAGGCCTCGGGAGGGCTGCTGCCCTGTCCTGACCCCACTGGAGCCCATGTCCCCACAGCAGCAGGCCGTGATGAGCAGCCGGTGCTTCCCGCTGAGTGAGGGGGACTGCTGGGACCTGCCTGTGGACTACACCAAGATGAAGCCGCGGAGGGTGGACGAGGACGATTCCAAAGAGATCAGCGTAGGTCCTCTTCCGTGAGCCCACTCTGCACCCTTGCGTTGGCGGTGAGGTGTCCTCATGGGGGAGGCCATCGGCACACACCTTAGAGGACGTGCCTTTTCCCTTTAAGTAGGACCTTTAGTTAATGAGACTGTGGAACACATTTGTGACCCACATGGATTTGGTGGAACGAAGCAGGACTCTCCTACATGGTGCACGTTCTGTCCTCCACGGCTCTCCCTCGGTCTCTCCGAGACGGGGGTCGGCGGCGCAGCACTTCCTTTCTGGGGGAGATGTGCCGCCACTGTTCGGGGCGTTCCTTGCAGGTGGAGCATCAGGTGCCTGGCTGACTGCGTGCTGACTGCAGAGCTCTTTGCAGCTCAGCAGCGTCTGTTCTGCAAGAGACCAGAGCTGCTCGGAGCCTCCGCCGGCCTCGCCCAGGTCACTGGCGTAGCTGCCCGAGTCTGTGTGGGCTACAGAGTCAGCAGGACTCCTATATCCAGAGCACACTTTTAAAGTGGTTAAAACTTTCAAATTCAGGTTATTAAAATATTGGGTTGGCCAAAAAGTCCACATGCTTTTTTCCACAAAAGACATTTTCACCAATATCTTTATTGATTTGGGTATTTCAAGTATGTCAGCTGTCTCCCGCTACTGACTTCCAGTCAGGGGAGGCCAAGGGTGCTTGCTGCTCAACATCTTTCAGTGCAGAAGACAGCCCCACAGCAAAGGGTTATTTGGCCAAAACGTCAACAGTACCAAGAAACTTCACAGCCACTACTGACACGTTCGGTCAGTTAGGGCACCTTCTCCGTATACTGCACAGATCTTTTTTTGCATTTTGGCTGTGTTTTTACCTTTCTTGTAATAATAAAGCATGATACACCAAAATGTTGTGTATTTTTTCCATCTTCAGTATTGGAATGGCTGCACAAAAATTCACCGATTTTGATCATTTTTAAGTGCATGCAAATATGACAGCTATAATAATACAATGTAACAAAATTGTTTCGAAGTTAAAGACAACTAAGCACCACTAGAGCTATCGTATGGAAAAAACATAATGAACTTTTTGGCCAGCCTAATAATTTTAATATCCTATAGGCTAAGCAAAGAAAAACTTGTTTTTTATTGGGCTTCGTTCTCCAGTATTCAGTCCTGAAAACTGTAACAACTCTATTCACTGGAAAATTAAACCTCTTTTTTAATACAGTGGGGAGACCACTGGCACAGCACCCTATAGAAACAGGGGGGTGGGGAAAGGGAAACTCGCACCATTTCTAGGAATTGGTGGAAAGCGCCTTTAGTAAGGCCTTCCCCCGTCTCAAAGCCTATTGTCTACATCCGTCAGATTGAAAATTGTAACAGGAGTGGCAAGCCACATTCCAGAGTGGTTTTCTCTGCTACAGTTGCATCATTAGAACAGCGTAAGGCACCCCAGCTGAATCTCTCTGAGTTCATTTTAATGAAAATTAAGCCCTTGTAAATCGACAGAAGCGTTTGCATCACGCAGACTGGCATAGAAGTAAACACAATGCCTGTGTTCAGGAGACACATTTGCTCAACACTGCCACCTATAGGAGCTTCTAAGTCACTGCACTTGGACCCACTTCCTATAGAAAAGAAAATGCTGCAAAGGAATTCCTTAAAACTGCATCATCTAAGTTGATGTGCTCTTGCTGGGACTTGAGGACCTGGGTGCAGCAGTCTGCAGTGATTGCTACCACTGCATGCAGTCTGGGATCGCAGGTGTGGCACTGACGCTGTGCGGCCAGGTTGGGGTGAAGGGGGCAGGGCGGCCTGCACCCATGGGGGTGGGTGGGGGTGCTGGGTGAGAATGGCTGGTGCAGAGGTCATCCCTGTGGCCAGGTCACTCTGGCGCCTCTCGCGGGTACGGCTGATGGAATCCTGAACAAGGCCCTACCCTGGGGCAAGTGCCCATAATTCTGGAAGTTGAGAGCAGTTCATGAGCCACTAGGCCCAGCACAGAAGAGAGGTACTCTGAACAAATCTTACTCTGTGCTTTCAGGAGGGGCCTCGAGTGGACAGAGATGCGTTGTGATTTTAAGGGTAGAGTCGGGAGCGTTGAGGAACGAGGGCAGCCACCCCAGTGGGGACGCGGCCTTCGGTCTGTGTGTCGATTATCGTCCCTGTGGCACTGAAGCTGTGTTTCACCCACAGCCAGAAGACTTGGACCCCTTCCAGGAAGCTCTGGAAGAAAGAAGGTACCCGGGGGAGGTGACCGTCCCCAGCCCCAAGCCCAAGTACCCCCAGTGCAAGGAGGGCAAGAAGGACCTGATCACGTAAGCGTGGCGCCAGGCGCGCCGTCCCTCCTCCTCACTGTCCCTTCCCTCGGCTTACTTCTGAAAACTGATCTGTACCTGCCTTGCCATCTGAGCATGCGACATCCGCAGCACATAAGTGTCTCGAGCTGCCGGTCAGCAGAGTGGCAGGCCGTGTGGCCTCGAGTGCGCCGCGGCGCGCCGTGCCGCGGGGACGCCACCCTCATCCAGCCACGCATCCTGCAGCTTCTCTCCAGGGCGCTAACCCCCTTGCAGACATTGCAGCTAAACTGGAAACAATGAAACTTTCTAAAAGTTTTTTTTAAACATACTTACTATTTTGGCTGTTTTTGTTTTTGTTTGGTGGCAGATGTCCAACACCAAGGTGTGATGGGAGTGGTCATGTGACTGGTAATTACGCCTCACATAGAAGGTGTGACTTCATTTTTCTCATGGTGGATTCTGTCTCTTCAATTTATTGTTTTCAGCTTACCTCAACAATGCTGTCAGAGTGAAAACGTTCAGCTCTGTGTCGCCCGCAAGTGCTCTGTGTTGACCTTCAAAAGCATGCTAACGGGTGTGTTGTATAATGCGTTTCTCCGAAAATAACCACCTAAATTGGGAAAAGTCTTTACAAGCATTTCGACCAAAGAGCGCAAATATTTTTCTTTTCAAAAATGGTTTATTAACAGACATGATTTCTTAAATTTATATGTAAACATATGCAGAGTTAATTATAAAAAAATTCAATATACAGCACTCGCCCCATCGCTTTTCTGCATCCAACTTTAATTTCCATGCCATGTTGTTTGTCCGGGAGGGCCCGCTGGCCAGAGGGTGACTCACGGACTCTGCCGGCCTGTCTTCCAGTCTGTCGGGCTGCCCCCTGGCTGACAGAAGCATCCGGAGCATGCTGGCCACCAGCTCACAGGAACTCAAGTAAGATTCCACGGGAGTCGTTCTCTCTGAGATCCGTTCCCTTACCAGGAACAGAAAAGATGTGTCACTTGTAAAGAAAGCTGTCCTCACAAGGCCACCTGTGCACAGCAGCGCGGGGTCGGGTGCCGAGGCGTTCTGGCTGCCTGCTGGTAATCCAGTCTGCCTTTCTCCCTCGTTGGTCTCCAGCTCTTCCCCACCGTCCGTACCCTCCCTACCTGGACCTGACCGGAGCGAGTGTGTGCTCTCCTGCACACCTGCACGTGGGAGGGAGGCTTCAGAGTTGCTCAGACTTTTAAGAAAAGATTATAATTTAAAAAGTCGGAAGCTGATGTCTTGAAAGTCCGCAGTCAGTACGAGTATCTAACACTTGACCCTGCCCCTAGCACTGCGACCGAAGGCTGCCAGGGTGAGGGGTGATGCCGCAGGTCCCCGAGGCTGTGGCACGGCCCCCTCTGGTGACTCACGGCTCACCAGCCCCTGAGGCCAGGCGCTCACACGCACACACATCCCTCTGACCGTCGGATCTCTGTCTCCCCTCTGTCTGTAATTTTTCTATATTTAAGTGTAAATCTGGTTGCTGCATTCATCCCATGGACCAAGGTATTTCTCCTCCAATACACACGTGATCAGCCACGTGCAGCTCCCAGACAGGGTCTGGGAGGTGCTGGTTCGAGTCCTGGCAAGTGCACAGCACTTGCCTGTGGCACTCTGGGCCACCTGGGGGTGGGGGTCAGGAGAACGGTTGTTCCCAGTGCAGTGAGAGCCACGGGCCTCCAGTCATTGTTACAGATGTCGTCACGTCACGTTGCTTGGCTTCCATTCTGTTTGAAACTGGCTTTCTTACCAACGCAGGGGGGCTGCTGTGGGCAGACCCTGTCTGTGTGACCACACCCTGGAGCCCAGCCCCGCGCCCGCGCCCATCGCCGCGCACCAGGCTGTCCCAGCGTGTGGGGCTCTGTTTCACACCGTGTCGTTTTTTACAGGATCCCTGTCCAGGGCCCTAGTGCCATAGATCATCTGCTCATGCTCAGTGACCTCCTGACCTAGCCCTCCCGTCACCAGACCACCGGCATCTTCTTCGTGGCCTATAAACACCGGGAGGGCTCCCTCTTAACAGCAGTGCCGCCCGTAGCCTCGTCTGCCCCGTGGGCCCAGAGCTGTTAGGACGCAGAGTGGACAGAGTTAGCGAGAGCAACTTGACCCGTGGGGTCGCAGCACCTTTTCTCGTGGCCTGAAACCGCCCTTCCCTCAGGGTCAGAGCGAGGCTCACTGTGTTTGCACCTCGGCCCGCGTTTCACAACGTGGGCGCTTCCCTGTGACTTTCTTAACAAAGAGTCCTTTGCAAGGTCTGGCCTGTCTCCATTTCCATCAGGCCCGCTGTCACCAGGAAACCGCCTTCGTGGCACTTGTGTCTAGTGTCCTCTCTCAGTGGCCGGGGTCTCAGCACCCCAGAGCCCAGCGCGGTTTCCTGCAGGGCCTGCTCGCATCCCTTGACTTCGGGCTCAGAAGCGTCTGAGGCTCTGGAAGCGCTGCCCCGTTCGGGAAGACGGTGTGGCGGTCCGCTCTGTCAGCGTCTTCCGGGGGCGGTCTGCTGACCCCTCTGCCTGCCCCTCCCCAGAGGGGCCTCATCTTCCAGAGGGCAGCGCCTTTGCCTCCTTTTGGCTCATCTGAAAGCCTCACTCCTGTCTCAACTTGTCTTTGTGACGTAAATCCCGTTTGGATGGACCCTTTCTTGGAAATCTAGACCTGACCAGTTTTCTGAAATGGTTTCTGTTTATTACTGGATCTTCAAAGTAGGGATTTCGATTCAATGTATGCAATAAAAAGTCATATTTAAATGAGCAGTTTTCACTTGATGTCTTTTCGAACTGGGGAAACCATAGATTATATCTTCCTTTGACCTTTGCACTGATGAGTCCCCTCCATCTGTTACTCCTCTGTCTGAGTCACAGGTGTGGACTCATCCCTTGAAGACTGCGCCACTTTCTCTGGACTGCGTCATGTGGGCCCTCGCAACAGCTTCCTCTTTACCCATAGCTGTGAGGCTCCGGTCAGTCCGCACTGCGGCAGCCTCTGCCCTCAGGAGTGACAGGTGCCGTGGCCGCGGGGGCAGTGGTTCCTGCTCCTTCCTAACGACACGTTCGAAAGTGCCCCCCAGCCCCTCAAAATCCTCTCCATCATGCACCTGCCAGGCGGTGGAAGTTTCTGGAAATGTTCCTCTTGTCTCTTCTAACTCTGGCTTTAAGGCAGTTGGCCACTAACAAGACCTTCTTGACCGCAGACTAACAGCAGACTTTGCCAGACAGACTTTGGGTCTTGGACCCTCAAACCTCTCAAACATCCTGAGATGACGCTTTGCTTGGTTCCTACCCAGAGCAACACAGTTGGGGTATTCTTTAAAAGAAGCCAGTCATGTCATGTCTAGTTATGTGCAACACGTAAACTGAGCACGTGTTAAAATTCACCGTGTACAGAGATACCACTCAAGCCCGGAACTGCCGTGCTGGCTGGCTCTCTGCACTCTCCGGTGCGGAGAACACAGTTCGGGGCTCGGAAGTCAGGGGGAGCAACACTTGCAGGAGGCGGGGGTGGGGGGCGCGTCGCACGGGCCGGGCGGCCCCTCGACTCGCTCCACGTCCTGCCTGTGCACACCTCACACCTGCCTGTGGGCTGCGCGGCTCCGCCTGCGCGCTTCCCTGAGGCCCCGGGGCAGAAAGGAGAAGAGGGTTGTTCCAGGGGAAGTGAGTGTCCTTCTCTGGTGGAAACACTGCTGAACATGAGCTCTGATGCTGAAGGGAAGTTTCTTCTCCTAAAGCCTCACCCGCTCAGGTCGCCTGAGAGCAGTGACGTGACTGTGGGCCTGTGTGCAGGAGGCCCTGACCTCCCGCCAGCAGTTCCCGCCCCGCCTCCAATGCACAACCGTGCGCAGGGGTGTGCGGGGCGGGGGGCCTCGGCCACCACGGTGACCAGTTCCAGCCAAGCCGAGGCCAATTCCAATCAGAGGCAAGGACCCCTCGAGAGCCTGCAGGTCGGCTTCTGTTGACACTTGGCCTGGCCGTGCCGAGGTGCCCCCTTGTCACCCCCGGCAGAGTGTGAGGCGCCCTGAGTGCCGTCACAGAGACGCCCCTCGCAGGGAGGAATTTCACACTGCCGTCCGGCCTCCGCTTCCCTTCGCGATGTCTGCACTCCGATCTAGTTAGTGCGGGGCAGGGGCTGGGCTCCTGCCTGGGGCTCTGCGCCCTCTGACGGTGCTCTCTGTGCGTGTTCTGTTCTTTCTGGGCTCCCGCCAAGGCGCTTTCGGCTCTGACGCAGAGGAGTCCTGTCCGCATGTGCCAAAGCCCTTTTACGGACCTGGTTGTGTCTCCTTTAAAACAAACTGGAAGAGTTAGAGTTTAGAACCTAGGCCAAGGTACTGCTTTTCTCCAAAGGCTACTTATTCCTGGAACTTGCTAGGGCCTGTTCTCTGCCGCAAGTGCCGTCTGGCCGCAGGAAGGTCACATGCGAGGATCTAATGGAGCCTCACTCATGCAACAGCTTGTGTTGTTTCGGGGGCTAGGGGTTCACACACAGCCACTGTGTGCCTGGGTCTGGGCAACAGTCCTCACTTCTGTCACCTTCTGCTTCAAGGTGGACAACAGTAAATCCACAGACCGCTGTGAACGGCAGTCACCCCCTAGCTCGGTCTCCTTAACGGGCAGGCGTCCCCGCTTCGAGGCGCCAGCCTCTGCGTGCAGTGGCTCCCGACAACAGGTTTCTGTCGCTCTGGCCTGGCGGGGTGGCACCAGGGGCACAGCACGCTCGCTCTTCCTTCTCAGACAGCACCCTACGACCCCTGTCTTAGTTAGAGCTTTGGTTCAGCCACTGCTACAGCTCCTGGGGGCAGCTGGGTCCATGCGGGACTGTCTGCTGCATACATCCGGGGTACAGTGGGCACCCTTATGCCCATGCACGGGGCTGACTGGGCCTCAGGAAGCTGAGTGTCAGCGAGCGCAGGAGCCTTCCTCCCCGACCCCCACAGCACCAGCGGCCGTGGGCCGGGCCTGCTGGTAGGTGCAGCCCCGAGGGCAGCTGGGAAGGCTGGACCCTTCCTCGGACTTGGGGGCAGAGGCTCCGTCAAGACCCTCCAACAGCAGGCGGCAGCAACAGCTGTGCCACCTCACAGGCTGCACAAAACCCGTCCAGTGGGCATTCCCAGCCCCCCACTCACCTCCCACATAGGCCGACGGAGACAGAGAGTGGCACGCCGCCTCCGGGTGCGGTTCACACCCCGCAGACGCCCTCGGAAGGCCTCTGGCCAGACTCGAAATGAGGTTTCAGTGCCTTTTCTTTCGTTGGTTAAGCCCCCCCACACGCACACAGGTTTTGGTGCAGGTTGCGGTAAAATTCAGAGTAAAAAAAAAAGCTCAGGTCACCCAAGGCAGGCAGGGCAGGGTGCATGTTAATATTCAGGACGCAGTTTTTAGTGAGTGGGGTCTGTGCAGAATAAGGGGCAGAGCGAGGCTTCTGCGTCTCGGCTTCCTTGTCCGAGAGAGACATGGGTGCCCTGGGGTGTTGACCACCTCAGTGCACAGAGGTTCCGTGGCCTTTTCTACTGCGGGTTTCACGGAAGCATCAGCAGGACTTGAGGGAGGAAGATGTGTGAGCTGATGGAACGGTTTCTGTGACCTTGATCTACCAGCCGCGTTGGGGACCCGAGACAAGGACTCCAATTCTCCGCCAAGCCCCTGGGTCCCTAGTCTGGGGGACTTCACCTCAAGCCCTTCTGTTAAGAAAGAAAGGCAGCAGGGGACACAGGTCGAGGCTCTCCTGTGAGACGGGCGGTCTGGGAAACCCTGTCCTCGCCCCTTTCTCAGGGCGCCTGCCAAGCCAGCCTCTGCTGTTGCCCTGCTGACACGACTCGGCAGCGCCCAGAGTGAGGCTGCTCCTGCCCACAAGGGGCCAACCAGACAGACAGAATCCGTCACATTCGGAGCGTCCCAGGGTGGATGGGGGCAGAGAGG